ATAAGACAAGACATTACTTGGGTCTCACACTTCAGCTGGGTGTTAAAAGATGTCCAGGAGGACAAATGATGTTTTTGTCGTTGTTAATGTTTTTTTTTTTTTCAGAAAAGAAATGCACAAAGTTTGCTAGCGATTGCTCTTCTGTTACTGGGGAATACTGGTGATTTGAAGGCTAAGTGGGAGAGGAAGAGCTGACATGAATGTTTCCCTGGTGGAGGCAGCCTGAGACTTGCCTTTCTTTCTGGGTCCAGCATCTCAGAGTCCCTCTCCTAAGTCACTCTCGGCACACCATCTTTCTAGTAAAATGGATAGTTTTAAGGGAAGTAGTGGTTTGGACATGAATGTCCCCAATAGGCTCAGATAGTTGGATGCCTAGTCCACAGTGGGTGGAGGGAGGGTAGGAGGTGCAGCCTTGCTGGAGGAAGTGAGTTACCAGGGTGGGGCTGGGTGATTATAAAGCTTCACCTACCACCTCATTCTCCCTCTGTTTCCTGCTTGTGCTTGACCTGGTGAGCCCTCAGATTCCTGCTCCTGCCGTCAGGCCTGGCCACCATAGTAGATGCTCAACCCTCTGGAACAGTGAACTCAAAGTCTTTTCTGTAAGTTTCTTTGGTCATGGTGCTTTATTGCAGCAACAGAAAAGCTTACAGTCAGTCAGGTAAGAGGAAGTCAGAGGCACTGATTCAATCCACTTAGGCTTATCCTTGCGTGAGGTCAGTCATCTGTAAGAAACTATGAGCTTACAGGTCTTGAATGCTTAGCACCTATTTTAAAAAATCTTATTCAGCAACTTAGAACAGTGGAATATTGGAAAGCGACTTAAGTCTCCTAAATGCCTTCCCCCGTTCTATGAGATTATACGGTGCATTTTCTATTCGGTTAGTTTGAGCAGTAAACACGATCAATGAAGAAAAAATGCCGACCATGTCAAGAATGTTCCTAAATGCATTTATTTTGATATTGATTTTAAACGCACTGTATCTTGACTTTCATTGTTCTGATAGTGAGAAAAGAGGCTTGACGGAGCCGGGTAGATGGTTTAGTTGTTAAGGACACTTTTCCTTATGAAAGTCCTGGGTTCGGTTTCCAGCACCCACATGGCAGCTCACATCTGTAACTCTATAGTTCTAGGGTCTCCAACACCCTCTTCTGACCTCTGAGAACACCAGTCACATATGTACGTGAAGGCAAAATACACACTTAAAAATAAATCAATCTAAAACAGTTATTTGAAAAAATATATACACTTGATGTTAGAAGACTGGTGTGGCAATTCTTTCTTTTGCACAGCATTGAGAAGGGAGGGGGTCATGTTCTTACATCAATAATAATTTTTTCTTTTCCTCCATGATTGCTAATAGTGCTTGCTACCCTTGTGGACTATCCTAAGGATGAGGCAAGAATGAAGCTCAGCTTTCAGAACTATATCTGTCCAAATGCTGGCTACTTTTACATTTTCTGGCATACTTATCCGGTGCTATGTGGATTTTCAGTTGTTTAAGCTCCCCGTATCTTTTATATGCATTGTTAAAGAAACATTTATTTTATTATTTGTATTTGTATATGTGTGGGGGGGGGCATGTATGTGTTTTTCCATGGAAACCAGGGCAACAAATTCCCTGGAGTTGCAGTTACACCTGGGCTGTGAGCTGCCTCTCTGGGAACAAAACTAGAGTCTCGTAGCAGAGCAGCAAGTAACCTGCATGCTGAGTCATCTCTCCATCTTTACTTTAAAATGTCTAATTTATCTTTATTCTTTTTGGAAAAGTTCCAAGTAACTATAAGAACGTGTTTGGTGGTAGGCACATGGGTGCATATGTCCCTAGTACCAACATTTTTCCTTTACAGGTAGCAAGTGATGAGACATTTTGTCTGTCCCACGAAAAGGATGGCAGGTCCTTAAAATGCTTGTTACACTGTAAGACATTACGAGTAGAATTGAGCTCTGATGAAACTTGTGAGGCAAGTAACTAAGTCTTCCTTTCCTCGAACATACAATGTATGCTTTAAGTGAAAAGTGGAAGCCTCTCAGGGAGTAAACTAGCTTGGGAAGAAAGAGAAGTCTGATAGTGAGAAGAAAACAGGGCTCGAGAACTTGCAGAGTGCAGCAGCTGCCAGCGTGGATAGGTTATAAACCGAGCCGGCAGCTGGCAAGGTGAAGTCCTATGCTCCGTTAAGTCCCAGCACACGAAAACATGGGAAAGTGATTAAACGAAGTAAACATAAGGAAGTGTCATGCAAATATGCAACTGACTAATGGCAATGCTTGAAACCACAGCAGACACAAGAAAAAAATAGCTTGTCACGTTTTAGTCGTGGAAGTGATTTCTTGGAAAAATATGCAAGAAGCAAATATTTCTTCTCTCCCACCTACCATTGCGGCAAGCACTTTCTAAATGTTGGAGTTTGTACAGTGTGATCTTTCTGGGTACTGCTTATGCTTATGATGTTTCCTGTTGTGCATCTATGTCTGCAGCCAAATAGGGAGTGTTATTGGACAATTGCTTGTGTGTGTGTGCGCGCGTGCTCTCTCGCGCGCGTGCACCGTGCGTGCGTGCACACCCACTCATGATGTGTGGAGACCCAGTGTTGATGGGGGTGGCTCATCCTACCATAGGTAAACTTTGACTATCATTTCTCAAGAGTTTCTGCTTTGAGACAGTGTCTCCCACTGGCCTGAGGGTCATCAGTTAATTCATCTAGTCTTGGGGTGGGGGATGAGAGGGTGGAGGGGGACTCGGGACTCCTGGTATTCCTGTTTCCTAGGCACTGGAATAGCAAGCTGGCACCATGCCCGCCTTTTTAAACATGAGTCTGGAAGCTCAAACTTGGGCTTTTATGCTTGCACAGCAACTCCAGAAAGGAACCATTCCCCTATCCTTCCCTCTGTGCTTTCCCCTTTCTTTCCTTCTTCCTTTTAAAACAGAACTTGTTCCTCTCTTTCTTTTCTTCTAACGAATGCAATACATTTCTCAGTGTGTGGGGGAGGGAATATGGTGGACTGACTTCACTCGGATTCTGTCAAATCTGGGTCCCATAGCCATCAAAGATGCCCCGTTTCCTCTAAGACTTCTAAAGGGGGCTATTGCCATGGGCCTGCGGGTTCTGGTTTGTATTAGAGGAGACACTATCTTCTTAAGTAAAACACGGAAGAGGAAGTATCCAGAATAGTAAATAAGGTTTCTAGAGAAGTCTTGTTTGGGGACCGTGATGGAGAAAGCCTACTTTGTCCAAGCCAGAATCCACCTTCACTTCCTTTACCCAAATCTGACACAGCCATTCCTTGATCATTTTCTGAGGTTTGCTTTAGTTCTTTTGCCTTACTGTCCAGGAAGAGAAGTTCCCTTCAGTGTTCTACCTTGTTCACAAATAAACGTGTCTCAGATAAAAGCACACCTGCACAGCAGAACACCATTAAGAAGAAAGGGCCAGAGCCTTGAACATGTTCTCCATGGGTGCCCTGTAAAGGGAAAGCAGGGAAGCCTCCAAACAGCCCTCAGATGGACTTTCCATTTGTGAACAAATAATGCAGTACATAGCCAACTCAACGTGCACAGAATTTGCATGTCTCCACCAAAGGAAGAAGCCCACACCAAGCATCTTCATGTTTTTCTAGCAGAATTCCACAATGAAGAACTAACTGTGTGTTGAAACATTTTTTTTTTACTGTGAACATGGGAAACAAAGAAACAGAAACAACAACAAAATCTCCCAGGCTTGGCACCTGCTTCTAGTATAATACTTCTGGCTAATGCACATTCATATAAAGGGGCAACGGTTTCTCCCCTCTTTAAAAAAGAAAAGTATCATGTTACATTAATTGTATATTTGTGCATTAATGTTACATTAATGTAGCTTGGATTAGATATAGAAATAATAATCTTATCTCTTTATTCTACCGAAGGACTGTCCTTTAGCCTGTCATTATAAAAGCATTTGGTTATAGTCAGGAATGAAAGATGTTATTGGATATTTCTTGTTACTTCCCAGGTGCGGAAGGAATGGGCAGAAAACTAGGCACGAATGTGGTCATGAGTGAACCGCAGCTCCTCTACAATCGCTACTTGAAGTCTACACAGATGGAGAAAGTAGGTTTGTTCTCCCAGGGACCGCTTGCCCCTTCGGTACTGCGGAGACACTCCAGCAGAGAAATGCCTGTTTCCCTTCCGCTACAAGGTATCTTGGCTGAAATATCAGCTCTGAAAAAGGCTCGGCCGAAGGTACCCTAGGGACCGTGGTCATGGAACCGGGTGGACCAAACAAAGTATTCTAGTAGCTGCAGAAGAAGGACTGGTGCTCATGGCTCTGCAACTGCCCGGAAGCCCTAGTCACTCCCAGTTCCCTGGGTCTTGCACTATAGGTTTTGTTTTGGACAGAGTCAGGCAGGAGTCCCCAGCCGAAATGCTTTCTAGAGATAAGCAGATAACTTCAGATTTGAAGTTGCCCGATGGGTGAGAAAACAGTAGGGGCGTTGGCAACCTGGATAAGCACCTATCTAATTAAGGCATTCGACGGGAATTTTAAAACTACGGCTCAGCTGGCCAATGCACCATAAAAACAAAACTCCCAAGTTCTGGCCAACTCCCTGCCAAGTTGGTGCCCTCAATATTTCTAGGTCCAATGTTCATATGCTCCAACCTGCCGCGGATTCTGGGTCCCGTGAGACGCTTAGCTACCGCGGCGATCTCAGTCCTGCTCTTGGAGGCGCCTAATGAGGGCTCAGTGGGCCTTGTGCTTCGGTGATGCTTCCCAGGTTCCTGGGGACAGCAAGTGTCCCAAAACCCGTTACTGGCGACATTTTACTTCCACCAGAAACCGAACTGCGTCCAGTTTTTCTCCCAACGGCGACTTGCCGACGGGCACAGTTCCGGGCTAGTGGGGGAGTGGGCGTGGGAAACCGGGAAATCCAAACCTGGTATCCAGGGAGGGGTGTGGCCGGACGCGGGGAGTCCCCGCCCCTCCCAGCAGTGGCCCCGCCCCTGTGTTCTAGTGTTTAGCCGGCGCTCGCGCTCTAGCCTGAGTCCTCGGGACCCCAAGAGAGTGTAGGTCGCGCAGGACGCTACCTGGCAGAACAGAAAGCTCAGATTGCGTCCCTCAGCCGGGATAACTTGGCTAGCCAGTGTCCACAGATACCGCTGCAGTTGTGGCCGGAGCCAGTGAGTCCCTGCCCCGCGCTCTCCCCGGTCCTGCGCTGCGGGGCGCGTATCGCTTCTTTGCGGGTCCAGGGATCGAGAAAGAGTTCGTGCTTGAGAACTGGGCTCTGTGCCCAGCGCGAGGTGCAGGATGGAGAGCAAAGCGCTGCTAGCTGTCGCTCTGTGGCTCTTCGTGGAGACCCAGGCCGCCTCTGTGGGTAAGGAGCCTGCTCTTTAAAAGTAAGGCGGCGAAGCAGGGTGCGGGCGGAAAGTGGGGATGTGAGACAAGAAGACCTAACTCGGGGAGAACTAGGGAGCTGCCCTTTGGTGTCCTTTCATTACCAACGAGAAAACAGGTTCAAAGACAGGCCCGAAAAGACCCAGCCAGTCGATAGTCTCCAGAGCTCTAGCCCCGAACTCTAATCCCCCCCGCCCCCCAGGACTTCGGTGGGAGCCTGTGACGTGGAGCCGACACAGCCTAGGGCGTTGGGGACGCGGGAATGGGAAGGCACTCTGAGCAGGGGTAAAAGATGCCCCCACAGGCAACTACAGGCAGTGAAACGCCTGCAAGCGAGCGCAAACGGGGCGCCCTGCGTGGCATTCTGCACTCCGGGCCCGGCGGAGCCTCCACGGAGTGGAGCGGGAACCCGCCCCCTGCTTTCTGGGCTTCAGCTCCCGCACTTGAGCGCACCGACTAAGAGAGGCGAGGTCTCTTCATAGGACAAAACTTTCTTCTCCCAGCTTTCTTTTGTGCAGAACATTACTTTCCTCGCAGGAACAAGAGGCGGCCCCCTCTTTTGTGACAGTTTCTCCGGGCATCTTAAAGTAACTATCCACTTAATACCCCAAAGCGTTTGGTCCAGGGGTAAACTCATAGTCAGAAACCGAACTTCAGAAATCTCTTGTGTTTGGCGCACTAAGCGCCACTTTTCATGCCACTTAATATTGCCCTCTGCTTCAAGGTTAGTAGCGCTCATGCTCTTGGGTTCTTGGTACAGCTTCTCTTCCCATCTATTCCCTTTCCTCCTCTCCTTTTCCCTCCCCTCCCATTCCCTTCCTTCCCACCCTTCTTCCTCTATTTCTGTCTCATTTCCTTCCTGTAGCTTCGTTCTGCAGTTTTCCCAGTCTCACCCGTTGGAGAACAGAGGGTCAGAAAATAAAAACTCAATTCTGTAAAAACATCCCTTGCATCAGAAGAGCATTGCATGCCTTAAAAACGCTGGCGCTGACATACAGTACCAAGATCATCTGTCTACAGTTATTGAATTTTCTTCATAATGACTCAGTTCATCAGACCGGCTCTGTCATGGGTGCTCATTTGTCCCTGACAAACCCTTCACTCTCCCCCTCTCTGGGAAGAGAAAGACAGTCTGGAACATGTGCTGGCCCTGTGTCCCACAAAGAAGTGAGCTGCTTTGAAGCCTGGGGTGTTCCTAGTGCAGCAGTTTAACAGCAGCCTGGCTCCCTGAATAAAACGGAGGCTGTCCTTTCGGATTGTGTGACTTGCTTAATTGGATTGGACTATAATTGGTGCCATCGAGTTCTAGAGACAGAGCTGCTGTTGTTTTTCCTTCTCGTCATTGAGCGGGAAGGATAACAGTGCACAAATTAATTAATGCTGGTTATGGGATTCGAACATAAAAGGGCTTTTATTGTGCAGTCGCATATGTACCTCTTCCAGTCAGAATGAACTTTCTAGGGGAGAGAAGCCAAACTTGCCAATAAAAATGAATGAGCTCCGATGGGGGGGGGGTAATTAGTCATTGATGAAACTCTCCAATTATTATCGATAACCCTGTTGACTAGATTTGATTGTGGATAGATCCCTAGAATAGCGTGGGGTTGCCTTTGGCTTCTTATGAATGAGATGTCTTTTAAAGATGAACATAGCTAATATGCCCGCAGTCTAAGATAATCTCTGGCTGCACTTTACTATAGAGTCAATCAAGAGACTCTCATGGCTGGGGCATGTAGATCAGTGTAATGCTCAGCGTCCAGGTTTGCTTCCCAGCGCTGAAGAATAAAAGTCATTTACTGCAGAGGTGGGTGGATACATATTATCGAATGGCTAGTTATTTACTGCACGTTTTCCCTCATGCATCTGCCTAACTAATGGGTTCTATTTCATTTGCTCAACATGAGAACTGTATTCAGTTATTGTTTGGGGGCTAAGGTTTCTCAATCATGTTTAAAATCTACTTACCAAATAAACTGTTTTTATTTTCTGCTTCTCAAACAAAGTAGCATTCGATCATTGGAAGACTGGTTTATGAACATTTTAACTGCTTGCCTAGGTGAAGGGCAATGACACCTTCCGTACTGAAAAGTGTCGCACTGATGGGTTGAACGTTACTACCCCGTTCTGCAGTTGCCTCAGGGTGCTCCACAGAGCGCCCGTGACACAGTCATTTTAAATGTCATTTAAAATGCACGTTTGCAGATCTAGGACATCTGAACACTACGTAAAGTTCAGAACCATTGCCCAAATTCATGTCGTTAACACTGTCAACTAGCTTCTGAGATTTATTTATGTCATTTCATTTCCAATGTTTGAAAATATGTCATCAATCAATCCACCTAAAGTTATATCAGCAGCATGCATTGTACATCTGCTTAGGTTGGGTGTATGCGGGGTGCTTTGGCCATAGATTGTTTTGCACATCTGTGTATGTAGGTGTGCGAGAACCCGTGCTGTCGGTTAACTGCCTGCCTCCGGTTGTCCACATAGCGGCCACAGCGTCATGGCACTGGCTGTTTACCCTGGCTATTTGCCCGTGCTCTCTTTATTCACACGGCCTCGTATTTGTTCACGATCTCTTATTTGCCCAACAATGTCAATGCCAGCTGAGGCTTTAAGAGTCATCTGCTCTTGGTTGGTGTGAATCAGAAAGCCTGGATGGCTGCCTGGTATTAATTAGTTATTTTTTCTTTTCAGACAGCCGCACTATGTGGCCCACGCTAGCCTCAAATTTACGGTCCTCTTGTTTCGTTCCTCTGAAAGCTGGCCTTCCAGGTGTGCACCACCAGGCTAGGCAGGTCAGTTGCTTTTCACGCTGAGAGCTGGAAGATTTTGATGTCCCTTAACGTGGTGGGCAACTTTGCTTTTCCTCATGCTTTTAACGTGCCTGATGACACTTTACATCTAGGTGACTAAAAACGAGTTATCTTGCTGTGGAATGACCTGTAGAGATGTGTATCTCTCATGATGTCTTTCTGCATTCTCATCTGTAGGTAGCATGTATCTTGTGTCTGGAGCTTTGTGCTGGGATGAGCTCAGAGCTTTAATTAATGAATTGAGAGCCCCCCCCATTGTAGCTCATTAGAGTTACACTATTCACAGTTTTGCTCAGAGAAAAATTATATTAATATGCATGTATACATGAACTTGAGAAACGTTTCTCTTCCTCAGTTTATTTTCCTTCATCTAAATGTGCTGTCTTTAGGAGCCGCCACCTCAGCGTTTGCAGCTCAGTCACCAAAGGAAATCTGCTACACAGCATGATAAAAGACAATGGGACAAGGTCACAGTGGCTCCTGTCCTTCTCGGGGGGTATGGGGATGAGCTGTGTAGACATCTCTCCGGGGAGTTTGCATTAATCAGCAATTTAGTCAGAGGTGTACATCCTATGCTTTACAAGAAATGTCAGCGGGTCCTTCCCCAAGGGCCTGAGATCATCAGATGGGGGTTCACCGGGTTTCAATGTCCCATATCCTTTTGTAAGACCTTGAAGTTGGCAGTGAGGGAAAACAGGAACTCCACCCTAGCGCCGTGCACTGCAGAACTGTTGTGTTGGTTTGTGACCATCTGCCCATTCTTCCTGTTATGACAGAGCTTGTGAACTTTTACTGGGAATGGGGCATGCAGCAAATTCCACTTTTATACAATGAATTGCTGAAGAGGCCATTTAAAACTTGGAGTGTGCATTGTTTATGGAAGGTGTTTCCTATTGGGTCCGACTCTTATCTAATTTGTTTCTAGTTTTGCCGGGCGATTCTCTCCATCCGCCGAAGCTCAGCACACAAAAGGACGTACTCACAATCTTGGCAAATAGAACCCTTCAGATTACTTGCAGGTAAGGATCCACTTTGGATTCAGATTTCCTGTGTGAAAGAACTCATTGTTTACTGAGGTCACAACAATTTCCATTACTGAAGAATTATAATAGTATTGTTGTAATTGTTTATAAGTCATGAGACTTCTAAGAACTCATGCAATAATGAAACAATGAGAAAGGTCTTTTCAAACTTTTGTACTATTTTGTTGGGCCTTTTCAACACGTACAAGCATTTTACGCAAATGCAACATGCACACACATACACACAAGCGTGCACACATGTAAATGTATGCCAAACTGACATGTGATAGACATTCACGACTATTGATCAATCCGTCACGTTAAGGACATATTGTTATGAAATAGAGTTGAAGTTTGAGCCATGTTCATATCAGTTAGAATGGCTTTTGGACATCTTTTTAGCCCTTTATAAGACCTGTATTCTATAAATGAAATTCTGTCTATAGTAGCAATTTAGTCTCTAGCCAATAATATTCCTGACCATATGTTCTGTTGAAAACATGAACTTCATACTCTGCCTTGATGTTCGGGGCCTCTTTTCCGCTTGCCAGCAAGAAGCCATGCTGCTGATCTGGATAAGCAGGGCAACAGCACTCTTTGACAAGAGGCCTTTGAAATTTGTGTTTCAACCAAGAGGCAAGAAAGGAAACCTAGAGGAGGTGTAGGTCTTTGTGGTCATGAGAGACCTGGAGGTCTCTGCAGAGCTGCCTGGTTTGGTGGAGATGGTGGTAGATACAGGCAATGGTGTCATCTAAGAAGAGTGCTTGGTGCCTCAAAGAGCCCTGGCGGCTTGTAGCCATTGCTTCATATTTGAAGAATACCAAGTGGTCCACAGAATAACTCAGGTCTGTTTTAGATTGTTGTATGTGGCCCAGGCCTCTTATCTAATGCCCAGTCTTTGGGGGTAAAGCAAAACCGAAAGTTGTAGCAGGAGCTGTTTACCTTCAATCAATCACGGCATTTCCAGAGATTTCCCTCTACCTAGTCTCAGACACAAAGGTTACTTAAGATCTGCAAAGGTTCCCGCCTCCCTTTGGAGATGGCAGAAACACTTCTTTTGTTCTGGGCAAACCCTAGAGCGAACAGGCAACGTCGTGAGTGTTCCAAGCTATTTGAACGAAGGCTCAGCGGGTCACGTTGTTTTATTCATATTGACTAGAAAGCAATAAAACTGTTGTCTATCTAATGCGACCCTTGCGGGGCACCACGAGTCTCTTCTCTCTGTGCCTCTCTTCTCACTTGCCCCCATACCTGCATGATGATTCTGTCTTCCCTGCTGTGTCCCCAACACTCCCGATGTGCACTGGTCCCTGTGCTCCGCATTTACTATTCTGCTTGAAATGCGGTTCCTGCTGATGTGCGTAGGACCAGCTTGGCCAAGTTCCTCCCTGGCCTTTGCTTCTTTCATATTTTTCTTCAAACACTAAATCACCACCTTTTATACAAGCACGTGTGCTCTCTTACTGTCTTTCTCCCCCGATTAGAGTGATGGTCCATAAAGGAACTGGTTGATTTCTCGCATTGGTGTGCCCTGGGCAAGTGCTCTAGCACTGAGCATCATCTCCCTGGTCCCTTAAAGCATCGGTTTTTGTCCTTAATGGTGCTCAGCAACCATCTATGCTTTAAAAATATTTACTGAAAGAATGAATGTGTGAACTAACAGAAAACACATGATCCTGTGGGTGACTTCTGAGATGGAGTGTGTGGTCTCTGGTGGCATGTCCATGCAGACTGTCTGTAATCGGTGTCTGTCAGCTGGAAAGTGTCTGGTGAGCGTTTATATACATGTGAGAACCAAACCTCCCGTTGTCTTCGACATAACCTGGAGCCACGGAGTGTCATATTAATACTTTCCTGGGATACTTTTCTCAGGGGAGAGAGGGACCTGGATTGGCTTTGGCCCAACAACCAGCGTGTTTCTGGGGAAAGGGTGTTGGTGACTGAGTGCAGCGACAGTATCTTCTGCAAGACACTCACAGTTCCAAAAATGGTCGGAAACGATACCGGAGCCTACAAGTGCCTCTACCGGGATGTCAACCTGGCCTCCGTTGTTTACGTCTACGTTCAAGGTAAGCAGTGGGCCGGAACATACTTCTCACGTCCACTCACCAGGTCTAAAACACAAGAGGCCCAAGAAAAGTTGAATCCAATAGGAGGCTTGTTGGAAAGGCTGCTTGCCAAGGAGTATAAAAGCTTCTCTCCCAGGCTTCCTCTGAGAAAGGACTCGCTGACAGTCTGGGCTTCGGTCTGAGCTGCGTTTCTCTTCTCCAGTTAGGTCCCTTTTCTGTGGGGCTCTGAGTTTCTCTGTGAGTCACCGTGGGCTATAGGGACTCAAAAAATGCCTTCAGCCATTGAGCCCCTGGGATCTTAGCGATGGAGGGAGATGGGAGGTGAATTATAGCAAGGTTTCTGTGACGAGATAGGTTATCTGTACCAAGGAGGAGCTTTCTGCAGGAATGCATCGCGCAATAGCCGAGGACTCTGGAGGCTGTTTTCCTTTTCCCCTCCCCCATAAGATCTTTCCTTTCCAGACTCACACTTTATAGAAAAAAATTCACATACCCATGTGCAAAGCCCAACACCCCCTCAAAGGAACCCTCGAGTACTGCATTTCTTGTCTTTGCTTGTGTGATCTGAGAGGACTTGGCTTTTGGAATCAGCTCCAGGGAGATACAAGAAGAGTCGTAGGGAGAGTCACTTCATAGTTAGAGCATGTGTTTTATGTGGGATTTTTTTGTATACTTCACCTTTGAGGGCTAATGATTTGGGACTGATTTATAAAAGCCCGCGTTTTATGTCGAAGGATTAACTTAGCTCTTGTCTCACTCACATCAAAGGGTTAGTTTAGCTCTGGGAGTAAGTTGTGTGACTTAACGCCTTTATAAGGAAAACTACAATGTAATATGTATTCAATATTTAGAGCATGAACTATGATCTCGTTTATATTTTATAAATGGCTTACCACCTTTTCTTGTGAAAATCCTGTCTTCACTTATGAGATGCCTGTAATATCATGCACTTCTCAGGAATATAAAGGTTGCATCTTGTATTATCTGTTTTTTTTTATTTTTGTGTGAATGAGAGTTGTGCATGTATGTATGTGTACGGTGTTTGTGTACTGTGTGAGTGCCTGCTGCCTGTGAAAGTCAGAAGAGGACATTGGATTCCACTGGAACTGGAGTTACAGATGGCTGTGAGCCACCGTGGGTGCTGGGAACTGAATGCAAATCCTCCACAGGAGCGGCCAGGGCACCTAACTGCTGGGCCACCTCTCCAAGTCTGGGTTGCATTGTGTTTGGCATGGGCAACCTGCGCTGTGTTTCTTGCAGAGAAGGATGAATCTTCAAAGGATTTATTTGTTCATCTGTATGCAACCTCCCTTCTCGGAGGATTTGAGACAGGTGAAAAATGACTTTGAAATTTTTTTCTGGAAACCACTATTACCAGACAGGAAGGTTCTTCATCAGGGTAGCACCCTTACAGATCTGCCCTTCCATTCCAGTAGGGACAGCCTATGGAAGAACACAGCCCATGACCCAGGGTACCCTGGGGATGTTCAGTGGTTGGGTATTCTTTTAGCCTAGGGTGAGGAAAGTCTAAAATGGAGTTCTTTGGCCTCCTCCTCACTCCACAGAGCTGAGGGAGACAAGGCTTGGATCTTGGGGGAATGTCTGGCTCCTTTTGATTTGGCAGTCTTGGGAGATGTGGCTCTCTCAGAAGACTGCAAGGATTTCCTGCTCTCGGCCTGTCTGGAAACGCTACAAGATGAGCCTCTCCCACAATATCTCGTTACTTCCTTCTCCCCACGTCAGGAAACCTGGAGACATGCAAAAAGTCATTTCATGGGTTACAGTAAATATTTTATTTTGAGAGGATGTGTGGTTGTTTAGTGTTCCTTTGTTTATTTCCCCTTTAGGGTTACTGAAATAGAATTGCGCGACCAAATAACTTTAGCCTTAAGTCAAGAGGTTAATTTAGATTCTCCAGGCTTGCCCTGAATGAAGCAAGTCATGTAATAGTCTGTCTGTTAACATGTGCAACGGGGTGGGGGTGGAGGGGCAGGCAATAGCAACAAGTGGTGGTCTCTAGCACTGATTGCCAGTGTACTCAGTGCCATTGGATGCACCGTGAAATTCTGTTCCCGCCTCAGCTTAGCCTTCTGTGTTGGGTAATCCAAGAGTTTGGTCATGAAGTTTAACAACAGGAAAGAAAGCATTGGATGTATTATTCCCTATGGACAGGTCCTTAATGTCCCCCTCTGATCCCCACCTCACTTCCTCCGTCCTCTGACCCATCTAGCGGTGGATGGAGCCAGGAGGTTGGCCTTGGCCTCGTACCATAATGGCTATGACATGTTGGGGGGCGGGTGGCAAAGCTGCGTGTCTATGCTCTCCAGCTGGGGAGGAAATCAGACCTTTGCTGTTGAAAGGAATTAGCTACTCTTCTACCCTTTGGTTTCATTAACTCTTTCTTCACCTCTGAAAAGGTTTGATCAGATGTGTGGGAGGCAGGAACTGAGTTGTTACCTCTGAGATTTGAAGTGATAACTCCAGGCCAGGTCCCCTGCCTCTGGGGGATGGAGAAAATTCCCAGCCGTGTACTGATGCTGTGTGAATACTCTCTGAAGGATAGCAAATCACTCTGGCTTTTGGCTCAATTGTTTGGCCTTGTGGTTTCCCAGATATTTATTGTCAGAGATGTTTGTAAGTTCTAAGTCTTGAACTAAATGCAGTGGCTATTAAACATTGGCACATAGCGACTCTTATCTTCGGAGCCTGCAGTCTCTAGGTATTACAGAACTCACTCTTTAGAATCGCTGGACCATCTAATTGTTCTTTTCTCTTAAAGATTCCAGTTTCTTCTCAGGTCATTTATATTATTTGCCTATTGAAAGAAATGAATTTTTGGCATCAGAAAACTCATAATTTCAGTGTATGGATTTAAAGTGTTTATTTTATAAAAATTATAATAATCTATTAAAGCATGGAATTTCTAAAATAGATTCTACTTATTAATGCTCCATGTGGAGAAGTTAAGATCATTATTGGAGTTTGCATTGAGATTTTCCTCTCTCTTTCTGTCTCTCTCTGTCTCTCTTTGTCTGTCTGTCTGTCTGTCTCTGCATGTGTGTCTGTGTGTATATGTTTCTCTCCCCTTCCTTGACCATAGCTTTGGAGCCAGATACCTACATGCAGACTCTAGTCAAAGATATGGGCATCTTTGCTCATGCCAATTGTCAATGACAATCATTCAGTCATTCAGTTAAGGTTCATGGACCCAGGAATTCCAACTGTCCTGCTAATAACTCACTGGGAGAATTCACTTTTCTTCCAGATTACAGATCACCATTCATCGCCTCTGTCAGTGATCAGCATGACATCGTGTACATCACCGACAACAAAAACAAGTCCGTTGTGGTTCCGTGCCGAGGGTCGATTTCAAATCTCAACGTGTCCCTCTGTGCAGTGAGTTGCCTCCTTTTCAGTCACCTCCTAAGTTTCCATGGTTGTAAGCCTCTTGGCCAATGTCCTTCCTGCTTCCGATGTATGTCAACAGTGAACTGCAAAGACCCTGTAGCGCGGGTCAACCGCACCATAAACAACTTACCTTCTTGAAAGTAAGATGGATCCTTCATGGGTCATCAAGTTCGGACGGCACTGGGTAAATGTTCATTGTTTCTTTGTTGTTATGCAGAGATATCCGGAAAGGAGGTTTGTCCCGGATGGAAACAGAATCTCCTGGGACAGTGAGACAGGCTTTACTATCCCCAGTTACATGATCAGCTACGCCGGTGTAGTCTTCTGCGAGGCAAAGATCAATGATGAAACCTATCAGTCTATCATGTACATAGTTGTGGTTGTAGGTAAGTGGGCATTTCCCTTCTGTTCCATTAGTACCGACTAATAAAAGCGGCTTTCTACATGAAGATCCTGGAGAGGAAGGTGTAGGGTGAAGGGCTAGGGATGTGGAAAAAGATGTTAGCTCAGGATGTGGTGCTGGTCAACTCATTACAAATGCTCTTCTCTACCAGACAAACCATTGCAGCAGGGGGACAGGGGGTATTCCTTCTTTCTTGCCAAGACCAAGAATGAAAAAATATCACCACCAAAGCTCATTTTATAAAAAATGCAATATTCAGATCACTGCTCTCTGCCAATTCCTTTAATTGTATCCATTAAATGGAAAGTTCAACAATTTACTCAAGTGGGCCCCATTGGCCTAGACTTTATTATTTGTCAGGTTCCATTGGCGAAAATGCTGGAGGTAGTGATTTGTGAGTCACCGTAAACCCTCTTCCTAAAAGCCATCTCGCAGCAGCGAGTCCCCCAAAGAGAAGTGATGTCACAGACTTCGCACCACTTTAAAGATGTGTGCCGAGCCCTAGATGTCTTTTCCATCTCACTTTCTGTTTTTATCATTTCCTTGTTCCAGGATATAAGATTTATGATGTGATGCTGAGCCCCCCTCATAGAATCGAGCTATCTGCGGGAGAGAAGCTTGTCTTAAATTGTACAGCAACAACTGAGCTCAACGTGGGGCTTCATTTCAACTGGCAGGTCCCTTCTTTGAAGGTAACACAAACCACGCAAAGCCAGACCTCTGAATACTTTGATTATAAGTCCTAATGAAGTTTGCTTAAGAGATATAGAGTCCCTTCTGGTCAGATAAATTATAAAGACTTTAAAACATATGTGCATGTGTGCATGCTCTCTCTCTCTCTCTCTCTCTCTCTCTCTCTCTCTCTCACACACACACACACACACACACACACACACACACACACACACACACAAAAAAATGAACCCTGACTTTAATATAAAAAGCATGGCGGAATAAATAGCAACCATGAAAAGACACCTTACTAAGAATCCCAACCCACCCTTCTGCAGCTGGGTTGTGCAGATTGGTCTTCACTAAGTTATTAATCTTTTTTTTTAAGATTTGTTTATTTATTATGTACACAGTATTCTCAGGATTTTGTCTGCATGTACGCCTGCAGGCCAGAAGAGGGCACCAGATCTCATTACAGATGGTTGTGAGCCACCATGTGGTTGCTGGGAATTGAACTCAGGACCTTTGGAAGAGCAGGCAGTGCTCTTAACCACTGAGCCATCTCTCCAGCCCCAGTTATTAATCTTTTGACATTACAGTCTTTCTCTGTTCTCTAAAGTCCTTGATCCGTTTGTCCCTTTAAGAGGTGAGCTGAGTTCCGTTTCTCTTTAAAGAGCTCTATTTGTATCCACACTCGACACACATCTCATTCTCGTTAGGTAAAGAAGGCTTCAAAATCCCCCCTCAGTTCCGTGTATTTCAACTTCCACTCATTTCTCCTGAATCCCAAAATATACGTTGATGTGGTGTTTAAATCCTCAATAGTAGGGTCCGCCAAGGGTCAGGACTGGATTCTGCAGGTCTCTAGGAGCTACTGGATAGTTAGTGTTCTACCGGGCTGTGAACTTTTACTAAAATCATTTTCTTTTTCAGCATCACCACAACAAGATTATAAACAGGGACGTGAAGCCCCTTCCTGGGATTGACTCGAAGAAATTTTTGAGCACCTTGATAATAGATAGTGTGACCAGGAATGACCAAGGGCTATACATCTGCATAGCATCCAGTGGGAAGATGACCAAGAAAAACAGCACATTTGTCCAAGTTCATAGTAAGCGACCTTTTCTTGCTAATACACTGTACCTGGGAGAGTCAGATGACGTACATCAATCTAGATTACCTTGTTCCTTCACAAGATACTTTTGAGTCCTTGTTAATGAGGACACAAGACCTAGAGGTCAGCAGCTTAGCTTTGGAGTCAGGGACTCGGGTTCAAAACCTCAACTTTGAAATGACCCATGATACATGCTCACTAGGCATTGCTCATTATAGCGGTTGCTGCGATTATTATTGTACGTAGAGTGTTAATATATATATATATATATTATATAATATATATCTATATCTCTCTATATATACTAACCATTATATAATGGTCAAATGTTGTCAAAGATTTCAGTTTACTGCAAGGAAGGTTAAGGGCTTACTTGAATGAGCATGCACTTCTCCAACTGGGGAAACCCAGATTCAGTTACTTTCTGTGTGGTTTTAGGTAAATCATTTGAATGTTCAGTTGTGCCCTCGTATTTACATAGCTGTCTCAGTTTAGATCACTTGCAATACTAGAGCTCTCACTTATGCTTTTGCAGGGTTACTTTGTGGCTTACTGGGAATAGTTTGTTTGTGATATCAGGGGCTGGCAGGTGCTAGGCAAGTGATCTCTCATTACGTCCTTTAAAGGAAGTGAAGGCAGAAGTGTTGGGGGGGACACTTAGGAGTCTGATTGTTCAAATCCAGGTGAGAGATGGTAGAGGACTCAGGCTAGGGTATCTGTGGAGGAAGAAGAAGAAATGAGATCCTGAATCTATTCCTAAGACATAGTCAGTGTGACTTGTTGGTTGATTCGCTGTCAGTGATAATGACTTGAGCTTTCAACACAAAAGGATGGCTTGTACTTTACTATGAGCAATGAAGCAGTGGTGTTTCTAAGAGGACTGGGTGGGATAGGATTTGGAGAATGATGTTGAGTTCCTTTGGAGATGCCCATTAAACATCCCGGGAAAGATGTTTGATATGGAGACCTGGAACCCAGAGAAGTCAGGGCAGAGGTGGAAAATTTGTATGTATGGCAGATGTTTTGAATCTGAGAGTGGATTGAAGAGGGGACAGGTAAAGAGAGGAGGTCTGAGGAGTGAGTGCTGGGATGGTCAACTCTTGAGTGTGGGGAGAGGGTGTCACAGGAGCAGAGGATAAGGTGTGTCTGCTGCTCACTGGGGGATTTAGAGGAGGTTGTGTGGAGGAATGGATGCTCAAGGTTCATGAGAGTGCGAGTGAGGGGAGAATTCTGACAGCAGCGACAGGAGAGACAGTGTTGGACTCTTAGAATGGCGGTCTATCCATGTACCTCGACATTCAATTTTCACTTGACTAAAAATCCAAACCCAAAGGGTACTTATAGTAACTTGGCATTTATGAGAACTGTTGCTTTTTATTTTCTTCTAGCAAAACCGTTTATTGCTTTTGATAGCAGTATGGAATCCTTGGTGGAAGTCACAGTGGGCAGCCAAGTCCGAATCCCTGTCAAGCATCTTAGTTACCCGGCTCCTGATATCAAATGGTAACAACTGCGAATCAAAGCCTAACATTGGTCTGCTAGAAATAAAATCCCTAAGTTGTGGTAATTCCGGGGACTCTCTTCCATAGGTACAGAAATGGAAGACCCATTGAGTCCAATTACACAATGATAGTGGGCGACGAGCTCACAATCATGGAAGTGAGTGAACGAGATGCAGGAAACTACACAATTGTCCTTACCAATCCCATTTCAATGGAGAAACAGAGTCACGTGGTTTCTCTGGTCGTGAATGGTGAGTCCTTTCAGGGCCTCCTCTGGCCACAATTGACTAGGAAGGGAGAGAATGGGTCTTTCTTTGTCTCCCGGGCATCATTGCTTGTCTCCGGTTGCATCATCTGCATCAGTAACTGGGCCAACGCACGAAAAATGAAAAACGACCCAGGAAGGTGGATTTGGATTGAGATGTGGCATGGCATGCCCTGGCCACGCCTTCTTGATGAGTCAAGTGAATGTGCTGTTGGTGGTCGCATGCAAGGTCAAAGTTGATGGTACCCTCTAGACAAAGGCCTCTGGGGTCACTCTAAGCTTTGTGACTTCCCATTGCTCCTGCCCACAAAACAACACACTGAGCGAGGATTTGGGAGACTCGCTTTGTGTTTTGTGTGATGTTTTCGTCTGAAGCTTTAGCTTCTTTGCTCCCAATACATGGCAGAATCCACACAGGAGACCTAGGCTAGCGTCATTGGCTGAACTGCTGTCTGGTCAGAGGACATACTTTGAGTCTGTCCAGAAAAGATTATAAGCTTTTGATTTAAGAAGGATTCCATCTTTACTTTCCTAAAGTGAATGCTTTAATTAAGTATTTGGGGCTGGGGACAGAAAGGTACCATGGCCGGGTGAGTGCAGAAGGTACCATGCTATCTGCCAACTTGCTAAAGGACTTCTTAGAATCTTCACTATGCTCATGAATATGGCCTTCTCCAGTGGGAGAGAGAGAGTCCTGAGGGTTTAACTGGCTTATGTGACTAGAACACTCTTCCTCCCTCAGGAAACACATTAATATTTTGCTTCAAGCGCAGTTGCAGAAATGCTTCTAGGGTCATTTTTTGTGCTCCCTCCTGGCACCGGACATTAAAACTTCAAGATATTGTCTCACAACAGTAATGTACTTCCCACGTGTCTTGATCCTCCTCTGGGTGTCTGCCGAGCATGGCCTCGTTTCTTTTTTTTCTTTAGGGAGTATTTAAAAGATAACCGGTTCTGGGATGGTTGCTTAGAAGCAGCATGGGCAGAGGGGATTCGTGAGGGGAGTGGGGAAGACCAAAGGTGATAAGTACAATGAGAAGAAAATAATCAGACCACAAAAACAGAGAGACAGACGGAGTGCAACCCAATCGCTCGCTCCATGAGGTCACACACGCAGCGAACCTTAGCGTGTCCCTTGCTGTGTGCAGTAAACACAGACGTGAGGTCTGGATTCTGTTCAGAAGCAGAGTGTCTACCTTTGTCCTGGATTTTGCCATTGATTAACTGATGTCCTTGGGCAAGGCAAGTCTTTCAATGTTTGCCTCCTTTCTTCTCACGCCCATGGAATGAGAGCCAGAGCCATGGTTATGAGGACCGGCAATCAATGGAAATCATCTCAACAAGACATGGTGCACAAGAAATGTATTTGCTCTGTCATCCCGGTGGTTTTCTCTCTGTAGCCTCACCCCATTCTTGCTAGGCTGGAGGACATGGAGGGTAATATCGTTCATGCAGAGCGAGCGAGCGCCGCATGGGTGTGGGGAGCCTGCCTGAGTTCACCCAGCTTATCAGCGTTTAGTTTTATGATAGCATAAGAATTCAGGTTCTCTGTCTCCAAGTGTAGATGTTCCTTTGGAAAACAGGCAGAGGCGAAATCATCTGAGTACAAAGGGCAGAGCTGGACGCTGAAGTCCTCTCCTTGTTCCTCATAGCAATCGGGCAATTCACGGGTTGTCTTTTCTATGTCCAGTCCCACCCCAGATTGGGGAGAAAGCCTTGATCTCTCCCACGGATTTCTACCAGTATGGTACCATGCAGACGCTGACGTGTACAGTGTACGCCAACCCTCCCCTGCACCACATCCACTGGTACTGGCAGTTAGAAGAGGCGTGCTCCTACAAGCCCAGGTGAGCAGAGCCACGTGCTCCATTTTACTTGCCATCTTACATTCCTTCTGGCCAATCTATGCCATGATTCCATCTAAATCTACAAGGCTCTCTCCCAGGACATCACCCTTAAAACCGTACTTGGATTCTCCTCCCATTTTCCTCTGTGTCTTGAGTTTTAATAGGCACCTTGGCTTGGGGCATCCCCCTGTGTGGGTCAACTTTCTTCTTAGTTAGCCTTGATGCTGGCCTCTCCCAATGAACAATGGTTGCTTAGTTTTGCTAATTGCGGGTCTTTGGATCTTCATCTCTCTGTGAGCTGGGGGTACCACGTTGCTCCTCCTTATCTCTCAGAGGAAGTGCTGGTGGATGGGAGGCGGCGATAAACCTAGCCCAGGCCTCAGGAGCCTTAGGCCCAGCTTATCAAGTTCTACCACAAGTGCAGACATCCTTAATGAAAACAACAGCCCCCACCTTCAACCTACCACCCCAAACATTCGCCTTCCTGTTGTTGTTTTGAAACAGCAAGCACTAGTATTTTCCTCCGCTGCTGGCCGTTTCCTAAACAAAGGCCACAGCCCCAGAGAGATGGCTTTCAGGAGCCCATTGGCTTCCAAGTTTCCTTACCTTCCTTTGAACTGAATTAACTTGAATTGTCCTGTTGATCCGATTTATGAATGGAGACCTGAGTCGCTGATCCGATTTATGAATGGGGACTTGATCCCAAAATAGCTGCTTCCCTCCTGTCTCCGCAGTCAGCCAGCCACCTTGGGCCTTTCCACTGTCGTTGGCATCTATTTTTAATTGGCTCCAAGTCCTGTGAAGCGTTAACCTGTATCGAAAGTTATCCCTGAGAACATGATAGCCAAGGTCTGATCCTTTCCGGGGCTGTTGATTTGAATGGAAGAAAAGCCAAATCATGACACGCTATGCTTTCTCCCTCATACAGCCAAACAAACTCATATACTTGTAAAGAATGGAGGCATGTGAAGGATTTCCAGGGTGGAAATAAGATCGAAGTCACCAAAAACCAATATGCCCTAATTGAAGGGAAAAACAAAGTGAGTTTGATCTTCTTGATTTTGAATATCTTTCTTTCTAGTTCTCCCTTTGAATAGGAGGTGGTACAACATGCAAAGGTATGTTGGAGGTTATTAATCAAATAGTCTGCGTGATACCATCTATAATAGGCAAGTTATAGAATCATCCTGGTAGATAAAGAAGGTGTGGGTTTTACACACACACATACACACACACCACAAAGATTCATCCTTAAAGAAGAACAAATTATGCCATTTGCAGAAAGATGAGGATTATCACATTAAGCAAAATAAGTCAGACTTAGAAGTAGAAATATGTTTTCTCTCATATAAATCAAGATGAAAAAAAGACACAAAGTACTAGTACTAGAGTACTATTGGGAAGAGGAGAGGGGTCATTTGTATGAGGAGGGGGACCAGAGGAAGTAACTAGGAGCAAATTATGTACTGTACAAAAATGCCATGATGAAGCCTGTTACTTTGTACAACTGATACCTACTAATTTTTAAAAAGAAGAAAAAAGAACATAGTACTCGTAACTTACCCACAGTTTATTGAAGAGAAACAAAACCCACAATGCCATCCAGTGTACACACCCATTGAAAGGTAATTTTGATTCTGTACACGGGAAAAATGAAATATATGCATAACATTTCATTAAAGTGAATCCTTGAGGATTTCCAAAGCACGTCTGCATCCTATGTACAACTGCCTAGTTAGAGCTGCTTACCTCGGAAGGTGGGCAGCGTGCAGTATGAAAGGCAAAGGCAAGTCTTAGCGGCTGTGGGGACTGATGGATCCAGGCTCAGAGTGTGTGTGTGTGCATGTTCAGCCTGCATTGTTCATTTCTTAAAACTCATATGTCCACAGACTGTAAGCACTCTGGTCATCCAAGCCGCCAATGTGTCAGCACTGTACAAATGTGAAGCCGTCAATAGAGCTGGGCGGGGAGAGAGAGTGATCTCCTTCCATGTGATCAGTGAGTAGACCCTTTAGAGGGCAGTGGGGGGAGGGGAGTCCCTCGGGAAGTGGGTGCTGTGCTGTGGGGCCCTCTGTTGTCCTTGGGGTTTGTGTAGGTAGCCTGGTGTGTAGTTAGGACTTGAAGGAGACAGAAATCGAGACTGTTCAGGTGGCCTCCGGGCTTGCATCAGAGTTCACGCGCCTCCTCTGGCCTGAGAATGGAATGCTTCCACGTGCTTTAAGTCTCTAGCGCGATGCTGTGTGGGACTTGTCTTGCTCCCCAGTTAGTGTGACTCATGACTCACTGGAGTTCGTGATGTTATCTGTGGGTTTGTTAGAGAACAGCAGCGGGGCTGAGCCTTCTGGGGAAAGTGGAACGGCGTGAGAGCACTGTCCTCTGCCTTCCGATGATCCTGGTTTTGTCTATGTAGCCTGGTTTTGTGGGTAAACTTGAACTAATTGTGCTGGCTTAGATATTTTAGTGTGAGATAATTAGTCGTAATAAATGTAGTTTTACTGCCATGTGTTAATAAGAGGGCATTGTTAAAGTTTCTACATGATGATTAAATGCTTTGCCTTGGGTTTTAATGTTTTCAACTTGGAAACCATATCCAGAACTCAAAGTGGAGTGCAGTAAATACTTGGGGAAAATTAATTCTCACTTCTAATGAATAAGTTTTGGGAACTAAATTGTCTTGTTTGGCTCTGACCTTGTAGAAATGGCTGGGCAGTGCAAGACCTCTCCCTAACTTCTTCATAGCAGCAAAAAGACAGTGACGTCATGTACCAACTTAAGTCACCATCCTCAAACTATGGCTTTCCTTTTCAGAGGGTCCAGAAATTACTGTGCAACCTGCTTCCCAGCCAACTGAGCAGGAGAATGTGTCTCTGTTGTGCACTGCAGATAGAAATACATTTGAGAACCTCACATGGTACAAGCTTGGCTCACGGGCAACATCGGTCCACATGGGCGAACCACTCACACCAGTTTGCAAGAACTTGGATGCTCTTTGGAAAATGAATGCCACCATGTTTTCTAATAGCACAAGTGACATCTTGGTTGTAGCATTCCAGAATGCATCCCTGCAGGACCAAGGAGACTATGTCTGTTCTGCTCAAGACAGAAAGACCAAGAAAAGACATTGCCTAGTCAAACAGCTCATCATTCTAGGTATGTAGGCATTCTTGGACAATGGGTGGCAATGCCTTAAACACAATGTATTCAGGTGTTGTGTTGATAGTGCCAGATTCTGGGAACTTTTGTATTAGACGGGCTCACTTCCAGAAGCAAAACAAAGCTAATAATGGTGAGGTGATGCATTAAAATTAGAAGACAGCTTGGCTCTTTCTAGCCTTTTGATGAAGTCACTACCAGTGTCTTCAAGAGATTAGTTCAGACTAGGAAACTTCCTATGGCATCTTTGGGTATTCAATGATTAAAATCAGAATGTTTGTGTAATATGGTGGGCAAGAACACGCCAGAAGCTCATAGTGTGGCCCTAGAAGGACAGGAGGAGACCATAGGCAAACACTAGGTGGTCATACCATTGTGAGGTCTCCAAATCATAAGGACAAAAATTGGTCTCTGTTTGTTTGTTGTTGTGACGTTAGCCATAGATGCTCAGTGTGATACCTGCTTCACAAACAGTGAGGTGAGGAGTTACCCTTTGGGAAAGCCTTGTGTGATTAAGGGGGAAAAAACTATAACCTGAAAAAAGCCATCTCCAAAGAGTCCCAAATCTTTATTTTGTGACTTGCGTGTAGGGTGGCTAATGTGGACACGGAAAGACTGCCATGGTCTGTCAGAACTGCCCCTCCTTAGTTCACAAAACGCATCCACCAGCAATTCTCGTGTCTGTGCGGTTTCGGCCTACTTCATCGATGGGCTACTGCTTCTTAAGTTTAGACTGTCCGATAGTGACAGGACACTAAAGCTGTTCGCATAGTTGGAACCGTGGGCACTATGGCTTTCTTTTTATGTGCATAGAGCGCATGGCACCCATGATCCTGGGAAATCTGGAGAATCAGACGACAATGATTGGTGAAACCATTGAAGTTGCGTGCCCGGCATCTGGAAACCCTACTCCACACATTACGTGGTTCAAAGACAATGAGACACTCGTGGAAGATTCAGGTGAGTGAAACTTGTCTATTTCTCTAGTGGTAGAGTTTTTTTTCAAGGATGCCACGTAAGACTGGCTGTCATTTCTTGGTTTATTTCAAAGTAGACAGAAAGCAGTATTTATGAGACAGATCAGTCAGTGAAATGCTTGCCAACAAGCATGAGGGCCTGTGCTCACATCCCTAGAATCCATGTGGAAAGCTAGATGCAGCATCCTTCTGTAATACCAGTGCTAAGGGGCAGGGTGTGAGGGTGGGGGTGGAAGACAAGTGCATCCTTGGAGCTCATTTGGCTGCCTGGCTAGCTGGATCATTGAGCTCCAGATTCAGGGAGAGACCCTGTCTCAAAAGAATGAGGTAGAAAAGAAGAAGACACCCAACATTGACCTCTGACTTCTATGCACATTGGCATGTCCCTTCCCCCACATGAACACACAAAACGGTACAGGATCCATCTGGCTCTGAAATGAGCCGTCCACCTCTTTAGAGTTGGATCCTAGCCCACAACGAAGGACAGCAACTCTTCTAAACATTTTCTTGGATAAAGCACAGATCGCACCATCAAAAATAAAGCAAACATTTCCTTCCACTTGTAGGCATTGTACTGAAAGATGGGAACCGGAATCTAACCATCCGAAGGGTGAGGAAGGAGGATGAAGGCCTCTACACCTGCCAGGCCTGCAATGTCCTGGGCTGTGCCAGGGCGGAGACACTCTTCATAATAGAAGGTCAGAGTGGTGTCACGGAACCACGGCGTGTGGGTGGCTATGCTCTTCACGGCGGTCAAGGGTCTCATATCTAAATTATTGGGGAATAGATGTAGTCCAGGGGTTAGAATATTTTCACAAGTTTAGTAGGTATTTTAAGGAGAGGATCTACATCTAAATATAAAACTTATTTAGGTATCATGTAAGCCTAAACACATAACCTGAAGGTCATTTCATGCAATGTTTTCAGTGCACCTGCTCTTTGCCTGTGGCTTGTCACTTGCAGGAAGAAATGAGCCCTCAGCACTCAGAAAGTTTCAGATCGTTGTCCTCTGGGAGTTCTGAGTTAGGGGTTCTCCACCTCTTCTTCATAATCTGTCTTCAGTGTGTTCTTTTAACCAGAAAGTAAAGTTAGCGGCATGCGTCAGCTTGTACCGTATTTCCTCTCCCCACGCTTCTCACTGTGAGAAAACGTTTAGCCAGGAGTGATGAGTATCTTCCTGTCCCTAGTTCTCACTTTGTTTTAATGGCCAAGTTAACTTACAGAAATGACATTCCAATATCTACTTGGAAAAAAATACTAGATTTGGTGTTGACATTGCTATTCAATTAGTGACAGGGGTTCAGAATTTTCACTAGAGCCAAGACAAGATTCGCTCATAAACAAAAGATGATTGCTTTTGTAACATGGAAAATTGAGGGTTATTATTGAAAAATGGAAGGAAACCTCTTTCCCTCTACTGTGTGTGTATATATGTATGTGTGTATGCGCGCACACGCACACGCTGGATTGATGTGAAATCTGCCTATTTTTCAGTCAGCAAACAATGACAGAATATTTTAGCTTATGCAGAGCATGACTGAGTCCTTTTCTGATTTTCTTTGTAATCCCCTAAGAGAACAAGGCTATTGTGTGACCGAACGTGTGGTGTGCAGGGGGTGACTGAGGGAGGTTAGGAGGTAGGTTTGGCAGATTTCTAACATCTTACGGTGCAGATGTGGGTTCCTTTAATCTGCCAACTCATGCCGTCGAATGTTGCATCTGGAACTAGCGTGCTCTCAAATCTGTAAGAATGTTAGGATTCCGTTAACTTCAGCGGCTAGTGAAGATGCCAGAGGGCATGGCAGTTCTGTTACTTCCAAAGGCATCGTGTCTTAGTGCCAATCCAGGGAGGATGCTCCCTTCAGCTCTCTCCAGTACTCTACCTCCCCTCCATTAGCCTTCTGCGTTAGGTTACCTAAGTGGGCACAGTGGCAGGGGTATCGTGGAGACTTACCTGCAGACAATAGCACCACGTTCAGCTCTCAGGTGTTACTATGAGAATATTCATACATAAACTGATAGAGGCAGTTGAACCTTTGGCCTTTCTTCTGTCTGTGTGGGTAAGCATTTAGATCTTTACATTCAGATAGAGAATTGCTTCCCTGGGAACAGCAGAGAAACCGAATCCACTTATAGACACACTCAGAGCTGGTCTCCCAACTGTTAACTCTTATTTTGCCAGTTAATGAACTGCTTGTCTTCTGGCATCTGGGCCATCCCCCCAACTCTGGACTTCTTTCAACTCACACTGCACAGTATGAGTGGAGAGAGAGAGACCCCAAGTGATAACTGTATCCTAATCTCCTCCTTCCTAATCCTGATTAGCACATGGTGCTGAGAGCCTTCTGCCTGTAATTCTCCACTTGGAACACACCCTGGAGAGGAGTCCACCACTTTCCTTGCCCTGCTTAGCTCTGCCTTTCCTCTCTCCTTTCACAGTCAGTGCTCTCTCTCTCTCTCTCTCTCTCTCTCTCTCTCTCTCTCTCTCTCTCTC